CCCCCCCCCCCCCCCCCCCCCCTGTGGCAGTGGCAAAGGCACCAAAAGGGGCAGCAGGCTCTCGTCACTAAACATTTTTTGTTGTTTGCTGTTGTTGTTGCTCCTCCCACGCTTTGGCTTCCTTTTGCCTTTGCCTTTGCCTCTGCCTCTCCTTTGACTGTTAATAGCTTTAATGCTGTTTTATGGCATTTCGTGGAGAGAGCGAGCGAGAGCGATAGCGAGAGCAACAACTGATGGGGCATGTGGCATAGAGCATTTGGTAGTTGAGTGGGAACTGGAACTCTGGTGGCATGCCAGCGCCAAATGTTTTACATGCGTGCTGTTGCTGTTGCTGCTGCTGTTGCTGCTGCTGTTGCCTCTGCCACTTATTGTGGCAACAATGTTTTCGCATAAATAAATTGGAATTGACTGTGGGGTTAGAATGGTGGCAACGGGACAGCGTGTTGGGGGATGGCTCTGGTAAAGCTCATAATTCCTGCTTTTATTTGTGGGATTTTAGCATGGCATGTCAGTCATGCATCTTGGGCCATGCCGCATGCCGCATGCGCATTCGGGTGGTAAACGTATGATGCTGCTTCCCATTTCCAACTCTGATTAATGGCCATATTTTCTCTTTCTTTCTCTCCACAGATGATGCCCCACTACTGAAAGGAAAACCCACACCAAAATAAAGCGAAGAATATTCCCCATAAGATAGAGCTAGAGAGAGAGCGAGAGGCAGAGAGTACCCCAAAAAAACGATCAGCAAAGACCCAGAGAGCATCATGTATCCGGCCAGTGCCAGCAGCAATGCAGGATCTGCATCCAAATTTCAGAATCGTTGCGCATCGCCACAGTTCGCCAGCTTTGCGCCGCCGCCACCGGGTGACTATCCGCATTCGCATCCGCATGCACATTCGCATCAGCATCAACATCAGACGACAGCCGCGGCCGTACACAATGCCCCAGGGGGCGGTGGTGCCGGCGGCTCGATGCGGCATCCCAGCCAGCGCTCCACCACGTCCACGGCAGCGCATCAAATGACCCTCAATCATGGCGGCCATGGCCATGGCGGCCACAATCACGGCCTCAATCACGGCCTGAGCATGGGCCATGGCACGGCGGCCACATTGGGCCACCACCATCATGTGGGCTCCCATCTGATCTTTCCCGATGACATGGACAGCATCGAGTTCTGCATGCCAGCAGCGCCCTCCTCCTCGTCATCCTCATCACAGCAGAATGGCGGGGAGCAGCTGCTGTTGGGCAGCAGCCATGGGGAGGCATTCACGGAGCGTCGACGACGCGGACATAGTCGCAGGAGTAACCATAAAATGGATGTAGAGCAGCAGGTGAGTCTCCGGTTGTCTCTTTTCAACCAAAACGAGAAGGGACGTGTGAGACGCTTCTTACGCGTCACAACTATTATACCCGGCACTCAGTACTACATCTGCACCTTAGCGGTTACTTGTCAAATTTTACATGTTTTCTTCATCTGTCATCTGCATCTACAACACTTCTCACGACAACACGCTCCTCTAGCTCGCCACCCTCCCCTAGAGCCACACACTGCAGACTCGTGGCAGAGGCAGTGACAGCACAAGCAGAGTGTGAATGAAAGAAAGTGGACGGGGTGGGTTTAGCCACTGGAAATGAATTTCTTCATTGTGGCTATAATAATGATCCAATTTGGTGATCTGATAGATATGGTCATTCCCTACGGAATGGCGTTTTCAGTTTTCTTTTATCTTCAAAATTGTAGGGAGGTTTGTGAGTTTTTTGCTATTTTGCGGGGGCGGAGGGGGGCGTGGCTCATTTTTGAAATACACTCGTTACAGTGTGAGCATACAGAAGTCTGGATGCAAAATTTGGTGGCTCTAGCTCTTATAGTCTCTGAGTACTATGCGCTCAACAAGACGGACGGACAGACTATCGACTCTATCGACTCGGCTATTGATGCTGATCAAGAATATATATACTTTATGGGGTCGGAAACGCCTCCTTCTGTGTGTTACATACAACCGTTATTCGCTCAAATACAATATACACCATTTACTCTTCGAGTACCGGGTATAATAAAGTTTCCCTAAGTGAAAGGATACATTCTTTTAGGGATAGAGCCTATCACTTAGGGAAATATTAATTTCTGCGCATGGAATTTTCAATACAAAATGGAAATTCGGCCGATTGCGCTATCAAAATGTTCCCCTAAGTGAAAGGATACATCATTTATGATATACTCAACTGATCTCCTCTATCTCTCTCTCTCTCTGTCTCTGTCTCACCTGCAGGTGAAGTGGTCCCGCAAGAATATTGCAGCCACCATGGAACGCTTTGAGCCCACAACCAACACACAGTCCTCGTCGTCCACCTCATCGCTGGACTATGGCTTTGCCGCCGGCGTTATGACGCCCAGCAGCAGCAGTGCCACGCCCTCGCATGGCGGAGGCGCCTCTGGTGGCGGCATGTCCTCCACACCGTCGTTGCACGTGGCCTTCAATGGAGGCGGCTCGGGCAGCGCCGGGGCAGGGGCCAGCGGTGGGGCCGTTGGAGCAGCAGCTGCAGCGGCGCCATTCAATCATGTCTACTCGTACGCCTACTATGAGCCAGGGGCGGCCAAGTGCCACACGAATGTGCCCGCCCAGGGATCAGCACAGGCCCAGGCACTGGCCCATGCCCATGCGCAGGCCCAGGCCCAGGCTCAGGCGCAGGCCCATGGACAGATGCAAGCGCCATCGAAGAGTCCGCCCAGGAACTCCATACGCGCCCTGCTGGCCAAGAGTTTCCGCTCAAAATCATCGACCCACAACGGTGGGCAGTCGACATCGTCGTCGCCAAGCGCCGAGGATCGGGACAGGCACACGTACACCACGCGCTACGGCACCACCGAGAATCTGTACGAGGAGGTGAGCGAGCAGAAGATCCGCAAGGTGCTCTCCGACAATCGCATCGCCTCGTCCAGCGCGGGAAACGTGAAGGAGGAGCAGCGCCGCGTCCAGCACAATCATTTCCGTGTGCTCGACGAACTAAATCTCTCGCTGGAGGCATTGATAATGCCCCCAACGCCGCCGGATATTAGCCCCAGTCATGCGATAGCCGTTGCCGTCGATGAGCTGGGAATGGGAATGGGCATGGGCATGGGGCCCATAAGTGCCCCCTCCAACAGCAGTGGCCTGGGACAGGCCGTGGCCTGCTCCAACTCCTCCTCCCCAGGCGGAGCGGCGGCGGTGCCATCCTCACTGGTGGCCAGCAGCAGCAGCAGCAGCAGCCAATCGAAGACCGCCCAGAGGCCACGACGCGGTGGATTGTTGGGCGGAGCGGCGGCCAGTGCCAGTGCTGCCTCCAGTTCGGCCTCGCATGCCAGCCTCGAGAATCTATCGAGCACTCTGAATAGCATGGAGCTGAAGGATCAGCATCAGCATCAGCAACAGCAACAACACCACCAGCATCATCACCAGCAGCAACAGCAGCAGCAGCAGCAGCATCATCAGCATCATCAGCATGGACACACGAGCAGCTGTGTTAATCCGGAATTCGATGAGGGGGATCTGGACAGCGGATTCAGTGGCAGTGGCAGCAGCAGCGGTGCCAGCTACAACGAAAGTTTGCGCTACTACAAGTCGGCAACGCCCACTGGCCACAATCCCAATCTCAATCTGAATCTGAATCTAAGCTTGAATCCCACGCTCCACCAGCAGCAGCATCCACTGAACAACAACAACAACAACAACAACAACACATTGCCACACAATATTCGCAGCTGCCGCTCGTCGACAGCCTCTGGGACATCGACATCGAAGAGCAGCATGGCCAGCTGTGGCGAGGATCAAGGCATCGCAGGAATGGGCATGATGGGAGCAGGCGGAATGCCTGCTGCTGCTGCTGGTGCTGGTGCTGGTGTGGCAGGACCCACTGCCGGTGCTGTCGGAATGCAGGATGCCAGCCTGGGCTCCCTATCGCCCTTCCATTATCCGCGCCGCTGTTCAGCAGATCAGCAGCGTGCCTCTGGTCGCTCGGTTGCCTCCGGAATGGGCATAGGAATGGGCATGGGTATGGGCATGGGCATGGGCATGGGCATGGGCATGGGCATGGGAATGGGTGGAGGTGCAGCCACAGCGGTGGCCATGTCTGGTGAGGGCAGCTGCAGTCTCAGCAGCAGCAGCAACGTGGCACTGTCCACCGGAGCGAAACCCAAGAAGAATTTCTGGACCATGAAACCGTGATGCTACAAAAAGGCGCTGCGTCACATATGCAAAAAATGGACTATTGTCATGGTGAGTGGAGGAATCATTGAATATTTATATGCCATATATGTACCCTCCCCTACATGCTCGTATTTCCCTATTCAAACTGTTACCAAATATGCAGCCAGCAATCATCATTCTGTTGTGAGTCCTTTTGCTGGGTTCATCGTTGCTTCCATGATTATCCAGCCATCAGCCATCAGCCATCAGCTATCATCATCGTACAATATTCCCACCCCCACCACCACCACACAAACACACACTACAATATAGAGCACTGGTTTTTCCGGGCGGCATCAATTTCAACTTTTCAACTTTAATCATAATAAATTTGCGGCCTGTTTTCGAGAGTGAGAGAGCGAGTCAGGGCCATTGCCAGGGCTCCGTTTCAAAAGCAATGAGGCACTTCCGTTGAACTCATTCAGGAAGTGCCACAGAGAGAAAGAGTGAGAGAGAGAGGAAGTTATAGAAGCAGCAAATCCACACATTCCCAAGATAATAAATTTATTAACTTGCAGCGAGTGAGCGAAAGGCCCAACAGCAACAGCAACAGCAACAGCCACACAACCCAACAAAAAAACATCATCATTATGTGGGAGGTGGATGGAAATTTCACCCTCTCCTATAATACCATCCTCTCTATCCGCTCAATCCTCCCCTCATCACTGCCCTTCCACTCCAAAAATGAATCAATTAAAACTGATTGAACTGCATAGATTTCCCAGCATCAGCAGCAGCAGCAGCAGCAGCAGCCCCTGAGCCTCATACTTGAGGCTTTACGTTTCAGGCTTCTGGCTTCAGGAAAATTAATTTAAGACCGAAAGAACTGGGGTAATCCGGAGATCGCTCATCAGCAGCGGCAGACACTCGGCTACATATGCCCCCATTTTTATGGCAATGGTCACGGGGATTACCAAAGCAGTCGATGAAATGGAATGGAATGGAATGGGAGCACAAGATGCAGCACAAACGACGACCATTAAGGCGCCTGTTGAAATGCGAGACAAAACCCAAGAAGGAGGACGACCCCGACTCCCACACTCATGGGTGTGTGTGTGTGTGAATAATACCGTTATTCATTGCATTTTGTTATAAATCTGTCAATTTGCACAATTGTGCGTGCTGAAAGAGGGAGGGGAGGAAGAAGGGCCATGGGATGGCATGATACTCGATGCAATTCGACAGGCAAACGTCGTCGACCAGGGGGGGTGTGTGTGTGTGTGTGGAAACACCACCAGCGTGTAGGGGTGGGGCACGGGGCAACCACACTTCAGGCCCTGCACTGCAACTGCAACTGCTGTGTGTGTGTTTGGAATCCGCAGGGTGCGCCGTGCGCACGTTTCGGGAACCATAAAAAATCGCCAGCGAAAAATGCTCGGAAATGCCACGGCCTGCCGGAATACACAACATTGTTGTTGTTCCTACATCAGCAATAAAATACACTCATTTTTGTCATAGATATACATGCGTAGCACATCCATCTAAAGCCCCAAAAGCGGTTCTTAATTTTTAAACAAATTTGAGCTAAAGTGTACAAAGATTATGATGATGATTTGTGATATATTAATTAGCTGATTATTGCATTATTTTTATGGCATTTATTTAGTGTTTGTTTTCGGTAGAATAAATGTAAAATTTGCTGCTGGAACAGAGATAAATATGCACCGCCTGTTGGCAGAGTATCAACAGCTTCGTTTTGTTCGGAGAGAATGAATCTGTTCTTTTGGTGCGTTTGTCGTCCGCTGCGTTGATTTATATTCGAAACTGCGCTGAGGCGCAACTAATTTGCCTCGGGTGTTAAGTAGCATGTGAAGTAAACGGTGGCAGGGCAGAGCCCAGTGCCGAAATAGAGAGAGAGAGAGAGAGAGTCCCGGGAGAAAGGGACCCCGGGCGATGATGTTCGTGAGTGGTCTGAAAAAGGGAAGGAACGGAACCCAAACGGTCCATTCAATGCGCCCCGTTTTGAATGCGCGAATGTGCATGTGTGAATGGTCCATTGAGTGACCAAGTGGCCCGGGGAACAGCGCCCTCCATCCATCCATCCATCCATCCACCACACTCCAGACTGAGTTCTTAAGTCATTTATGGGACTGGTTCAGTTTTCGGCTGTATTCATTCATGCTCATAAATTCATTCAGTTTTGTACCCCATTCAGCGGCTCTCTTTCACCTTGAATTCATTTAAAGATTTCTCTTTAAGTCCTCGAGAGATGGTTCCCGAGCCGAAAGTGCAGAAAGAAAAATCTTTTCAAACTAAAATACCATAAAATAAAATGGTTTTGTTACCCGATAAAATATTAAACGTTTTCTAAATGTCTAAATTGTGTGCCAGATTTGTGGGCTTCGTCTTCGTCTTCGCCTTTGTGTTATATTTATAATATTTGCATTTAGCCCCACAACATTATGACTATGCACACTCTCAGGTAGACACATTGCATCAGCATTCACCTTGAACACACACACACACTCTGCACACACACACACACACCCAGTCCATTCATTTCTATTCATTCCATTTGTGTGCCTTGCATCGATGGCATTCAATTTCGAGAGAGATATTGGAGAGTGGAGAGAAGTGCACATTTTTGGAGTGCTTCAAACTACAAACTTGTGCTCCTGGCAGACATCACATCATCATCATCATCATCATCATCAGAGGAGGAGCATTGGAATAGGAATAGGATGCACCCTTTCTCTTTTAGAATTCTCCTCTCAATTCGTATGTGTGTGTCCCGAAAACTCTGTCCTGAAACGATTTGTGCACACTCGATTTGACAGTCAGTCACTGCCCCGTGCCCATGCCCCACTTCCTGGTGGAGTCCGTCGTCCCTTTGAATCGTTTAAATGTAACCAACAATAATAAAACATTTTAAACTTGCGGCAACGGCAACGGCAACGACTGCGGCTAATAAAGCAAAAGGGGAAAAAAAGTGGGAAAGAATGGACCCAAACGAAAGGAAGACGAAAAGGAACTCCAAAATGAAATCAGAGCCACATCAAAATGGGGAAACGTCTGCTGCTGCTGCTGCTGCTTTTGGGCAAATATGAAAATATACGTGGGATGTGGGAATGTGAATGTGAATGTGCCCCGAGGACCAGGAACAGGACGATGGCGGGCGATTTAGGGATTCCAGAGCTGGACAATGCCGCATATAAGTAATGAAGATAAGGCCAACACAAGAAAAACGAAGGGACTGGCGCCCAGTTAGAGCAAGTGGAAGAGTGAACCCCGCACAAAGCAACACACATACGATGGGAGTGCAAGGAAATCGGGCATAAACATTCACTTAGCCATAATAAAAGAAGAGCAACGGCAAACGGCAAATGGCAAATGGCAACAGCAGCCAAAATACTTCGTACGTACGAGTATAGTACTCAAATGAACAACATTTCTATTTAAACAGACCCCAGAGGCAAAGGAACGAGGAAACAGCAGCAGCACCATCAACCGGCAACCGGCACCCGCCACCCGCCACCCGCCACCCGAGCTAGAGACCCACAGTGTTGGTCACGTGGGGTCACAGCGGATCCTGGGGGGGGGGGGGGTCGCAAAGCGAAATTTGTCTGAAGTTTCACTCTTATGAATGGAGAACGTCCCGTCATTGCTGGTCTCTCTCCTTTTTTCTTTTTCTTCCTATTTCTAGACGCAGATTTCCTTCGACTGATTAAAAATTGAATGATGAAGGCGGCCCGACCCGGTTCCTTTTTTCCCTCCTCAAAGAGGAAGAGCAGAGACTGTTACAGTAGTGAGGAATTTTTCCGTGTCGCGGCATAAAATACTTTTGTCCGGCAGGCAATGTTTCTCTCCAGAAACTACACCGAAAAAGAAAGCTTCAGCTGGGTGCTTAAGGAGTAAAAGATTTTGTCAGTTACTCAAAGATTATTTGACATATAAATTTGTGATTTTGTACTCTTCAAATTTTGCATTTTATTTAGTTTATTTATAGATGTATCTCTTCTGTATTCATCTTTTGTATATTCAAAGCATTTATTGGCATTTATTGGACTGTTCAATCCACCGCATAGCAGGGGAATGGCTTTGCAACTTTATTCCAATTTCTCATACCAAAGGGTATCTATCGGCCTCATATTTCTGCGAGTGTATCGAGTGCGAGTGAAAGAAAAGCGAAAACCTTAACCCGCTGGCGCCAAAGTCGCAGTCGCGTGGGTAACACAATAAATTTGCAAGGACAAGGCCTGGTATCGTACGAGTAGGAGCACGAGTCTGGCCTGCCCTGGCCTGGGGTCTGGCAAGGCGCCAAGCCATGGTCCAAGGGAATGGATAAGGCAAGGCGACTGTATGGACGGACGGGTGGACGGGTGGACGGGTGGACGGGTGGACGGATGGACAACACGAAAGGAATGGCGTAACGTAACGGAGCCCAGAGGAGGACCGGACCGGAGGACAATGGCAAGCGTTAAGCAATAACACAACTTTGAGGGTGGCTCAACGGTAGCTGGTGGTGACATTGTCTGGATTCCCTTTCATACACACACACACACACACACACACACACACATCCTCTTGATACTTTTTTGGGGGTTGTCTAAACCAAATTCACCCACCATTTCGCTTCTGGTTTCTGGGCTCTGGCTCTGGCTCTGCCTTCTCCCCCCTTCGGCCAAAGTCCTCGTCGTCTAAGAAGAAAACTGTAGTAAATAATTCTTTAAAGATTTAGAGACACTCCAGCGAAAGGCACTGGCAGCAGCACACCCGCACACCCGCACAATTGCAAATTTTTATGAGATATTCACGGGGGAGAATTACTCATTGAGAGTGTGGAAAGAGAAGAGAGGGGATTGGGATTTGGAATGGGAATGGGAGTCTGGGGTGTGGCGCGTGCTTGTCGCGGCTTTTTAGCTATTTTCGTCATCGCTCCCAGTCGGCAGTCGGCAGTCGCAGTCGCGTCTCTCGCGTTCATCGTCTCGACATAAGCCGGCCACATATCAAGATTAATTTTTTCCAAGATAATAAATTCAATGCAGATTAAATGGCAGAGACCATTAAATTATCGACTTGAGGTTCGGTTT